GATTTGGGGAAGGATGCTAGGACTCAGAGGAGGATGAGGAAGGAGAAAGGGTAGTTAGGAGGGACAGACCAAAATATTTAGAGAAGGATGTAGGAATCAATTTGAGGAAGCAAGGACGTAAGGTGGGAACTGTTTAGCGAAGGATGAAAGAGGGAGGTAGGAAAGATTGACAAAAGGAGGAGGAACAAAATCATGGACGGATGCAAAGAAGGACGAAGTGAGAAGGAAAGGTAGACGGAGGGATAGGATGGTAGGAATCAATCTGAGGAAGGAAGGAGGTCATGGAGGATGGAAGATGGGAAGAAGGTAAAAAGAGGTAGCTAGGAAAGAGATGGTAGGAATCAATGCAGGTAAGGAAGGATGTGAGGGGGCCAGAAAAGAGGAGCGATCTAAATAATGAAAGGAAAGATGCAAAGAGGTAAGGGAAGTATGAGAGGACGAGGTAAGGAGGGATCTAGGACACTAGGATGGTAGGAAAGACGAGAAGTAAGATGGATAGAGCAGGAGATAGGAAAGGTGAGAAGGAAAAGTGGACAGGGAAAGAAAGATGGAGGTAAAAAAAAAAAAAAATGAGTGAGAGGAAAGAAAAAGAAGCTGAGGGAAGGAGACAGAAGGGAGCAAATGTAAGAAAGGACAGATGGAAAGAAGGAAGGAAAGCAACAGAGGGATAGGAAACAGAAGGTAGGAGAGGATTACACAGGACGAGACGAGAGAAAGGAAAGAGGGATTAAGAGGACAGATGGATGCATCATGATGGAAAGACCAGAGGAAGGAGGGATTAAGGAGGGAGGATGAGCTGCCTCCAGGTGAGAGACGGATCGCTGGTTCATTTACCAGCAGAGCTCACGTAAAACAAACTAATGATTGATAGAAATATAACTTTGTTTTGTCTCTTTACCGGACAATAAACTAAACTACTCTTCATAATGAACTGATATTTAAGATAAATCCAAAATGAATTCCTTTAATATCTCGTTAAAATAAAAAGGATTCCCTCTAAAGTTAAGGTTTTTAATGAAAGGTTTGTGCGTTTCATTCACCGATTGAAGCACAACTTAAGAGGAAATGATTTTTTTTTTTTAAATAAAGTTGTTATAAAGACGTCAATTTAGAGCAAAAACCTCCAAAGAACCTTGAGTGAGTCTCCAGCGTCACTTTCCCACCTGGTTTAAACTCCTACCTGGTCCTGGATCAGCATTCTTGAGATGTTGCCAACAAGTATGACCAAAAGTATTTACATCAAAATATACTTAAAGTACAAGAAAGTAAAAGTTCTCATGAAAAAGGATCCATTTCAGTAAAATATTTGATAAATCAGAGAAGTGACTCAGCTTATTATTTTACTGTGCACTGCTCGTGAATTATATTAATCAATAAATTATTGTTTATCAATAATACAGTTGAAGCGAATTTGAATAAAAATGCATCAAACAGCCATTTACACCCTCTTCCCTGCAGACGTTCAGCAGGAAGTCTCCGGTGTGACGAATGTTAATGAAGGAGAATAAAAACCAGAACAACAAGCGAGTGTTTTTGTAAATAACAGTTTTATTTTCTGCCCTTCGCGTGTTTAGCTGCTGCCCTGCTTGGCGGCCAGCCTCTTGTCTCTCTCCTCAGCGATGGTCAGACGGATTCCCTTTCCTCTGGGCAGGGACACCCACGGCTTGTTGCCCTGGAGGGGAGGAAGGGGGCGGGGACAAGGTGGGAAAGGGGGCGGTACATAATTAGAAAGGGGCGGAGACAAGAATGCAGGTTGAACCCGTGAACGCTGCAGCATCTCTTCACTATTTATCGGGATTGGATATTTAAAATCTTTCATATCTTAGTAACAATAAAAGCACGTTTCTGGTAATTCAATAAATGTATAATAAGATATATTAAATAAAGTGTTTAAAAAGATGAATTTGTGACGCGTTGTAGTCGAGGAGCTCAGAACTTCTTAGAGGAATTGGTAGTTTATTTTCACCGCTGATCAAAACCAAAAACATCATCACTGCTCCGCCTGAATAAAATAAACGAGTGAACTTGTAGGAGTCTCACTGTTACATCCACAGACTGCAGAACGCTGCTACTCTTCCTCACCTTGCCAATGATGAAGATGTTGGAGAGCCTGGTGGCGAAGTTGTTGCCCGTGCTGTCCTTGACGTGCACCACGTCGAAGGAGCCGGGGTGACGCTCCCGGTTGGTGATGATGCCGATACGCCCCAAGTTAGCGCCGCCGGTCACCATGCACAGGTTACCTGGAGGGAGAGGACGCCGTGTCAGGAGCGAGAGAACACGAAGCGCTCGTTCTTAATGTGCGAGCGGCGGCGGCTGAGGAACCTACTGGTGTCGAACTTGATGAAGTCGGTGATCTTGCCGGTGTCCAGGTCGATGCGGACGGTGTCGTTGACCTTAATCAGGGGGTCGGGGTAGCGGATGGTGCGGGCGTCGTGGGTCACCAGGTGGGGGATTCCCTTGGTGCCGACCATGAGCTTCTTCACCTTGCACAGCTTGTACTGCGGGAGGAAGAGGAGGCGGGTTAGGAGAAGAACAAGGAGCGAGTTAACCCTGAAGTTCAGCCCGAGTTTCTCTGATTTGTTGTCACGCGACTGTTGGTCTCGGATGAGTCAATCACGGCTTCATAGTTGCTCTGAGGAGCTCAGAATTTAATGTTTTTAACAGAATCTGATTAAAGCAAACGGTTTATGTGGGACGAGATTTTAAATGAGAACATATAGAATAAAATGTGTTTGGTTAAATATCACAATTTTAAGCTTTGTTTTGGCAGCTTTTTCTGACGGAAGCGTTCTCACACACGATGTGTTCAAGGACTGTAGGAACGATGAAAATCTGACGATAATGGCTGTTTTTACAGCTTCTGGCTGTGATAAACGGTGTAGTTTTGGTTTAAAGACTTCATGAAAGAACAGAAATCTACTCTGTAGACAACATCTCACAACACAATAAATCAACCGTCTCTCTCTCACCTCCAGGAAACTACTTCATGGTGTTTTATTTTTATGGTCACTACAAATTTAAACTCTGCTCGTTTTAATGTTTTTATTTGCACTTGGATCAGTAGTCTTACTGTTTTATGAGTCTACTTCTGAGTACTTCATATACTACTTATGTTACCATTTTACTTCACATCTCATTCGTATACAGTTTATTTTATGTCACTTTGTGCCTTTAACTTCCACGACACCAGAAGTTTTGCACCGTAGGAGAAAAACAAAATAAAGTCAATAAGTGTTTAAAAAAAAGATGAATTTGTGACGTTTTGTAGTCGAGGAGCTCAGAACTTCTTAGAGGAATTGGTAGTTTATTTTCACTGCTGATCAAAACCAAAAATATCATCACTGCTCCGCCTGAATTCTGTCTCAAATTAGATGATAAAATAAGTGAATTTGTAGGTAAAACTTGAGTTTAGCTCTTAAATTCTGTGTAATTTAAATGACATCTGCCTGTTATTCTCCCCACAGCGGAGGACTTTAACCAGATTTGACCGAGAGGCAGAAACCAAATCCTTAAAAGCTCGTCTCAAATGCCGATTACACCCGTTAACAACCGTCTGAATCTCAAAACTCAGCTAGTAGAACATCCAGCAAGAAACTGACGACTGTGGTTTGTATTTCAAACAGGATGCTTTAAACCGTCTCCCCTTGTTTCCCGTCTTCTCTGCTTTCATATATATCTTAATGGTAGTGCTCGACCGTTGTGTCATTTTCCAAAAGCACCAATGAAGAAGTGCTTCTGTTTCTTACCTTGGCCTCCTCGGCGGTGATGCGGTGGACGGTGAAACGTCCCTTCACATCGTAGATCAGACGGAAATGCTCGCCGGTCTTCTCGATGCTGATCACATCTGGAAAAACACAAAAGGTCTTAACATCCAAATCATGCGTTTGTTTTAAATATTCCACCTGCAGGATTGTTCCCAATTTAAGGAGCTGCTGATGAGACGGTAACAACACTGGTTTACTGCCATCATGTCACGTTAATTTAAACCATTAACGCCGACACAAAAAGTCAGAAACACGACAGTATTCAGTCTATTCATTTCAACAATATGCAAATTACACAAACACAACATCTCATCTTATTTGACAACTTTCAGCCCACTCCAACAGTTGACTTTCTCCTCAAGCTACTAATTTATCCTCTTGGAATAAAACTCACCATGAGAAGACATGGCAACCCAACGTTGACAATTAATACCAAGATACACAAAAAGAGGCTGCTCCTGGGCCACAGCGTCGTGTGTTTGGTGTGTATAAATAGGCAGCGGTCAGCATGCTGCGATGCCTCCCTTGGATTTAGAAATTAAAAACACCACACCTCCACACGGAGGCTGTTTGCGAGTGTCAGGTATGAAAGAGTCTCGACGAAAACCATTAAATCCTCTGTTCAAGACAACACTCGTTTCGTTGCCATCTTAAATAAACATGACTGTTAATAAATGTAAGTGTTTAAGTTTAAGTGTGGTGAGAGTCTTCATACAAGACGCACTAAAAAACTATATTTTAAAAGAGCTTCTCACAGCAAAGACATGGACGGTGAAGCAGAATGTTTGTGTTTTTCAGAGCGAAGTACAAAAAGAAAAGGGCCAACCCCATAATATGCATCAAATCAACAAAGAGAGCAGTTTGCCCCTCAAATCTATAAGTGACGAGCTCACGTTGTCCCATCGGTTCTGTGGTGTCGGCAAATTGTCGCAAATAATCACGACTTCACCTTTACACATCTACCAAAACAACATCCCAGTGTGAATATGTGGACGCTCGACCCGTCAGACAACCAACTAGACGGTTACAGATCTGACAACCAAGACTGAAGAAGACTGAGCGAGGGAAAGTAAAGCCTCACATTTAGTCGACAAAAGTAGAAGAAACTTAAAGTCAAAGTCACACTTTGGAGGAAAACAGCAACTCTGCTCCGGCTCCACACCGCTCCCCTAACTAGTTTACGAGCTTCCAACAACCTCTGATAATAAGTTAAATACACAACAAGTGTTGTAGTTTGAGCTCAGAACTTCTTAGAGGAATTGGTTGTGTAGTTTCAGCTCATTGCTGATCAAAACCAAATATTTCATCACTGCTCCTCCGGCCTCCTAATAACCGACGGAAGCATCATTCACACTTTACAGACTCCTAATCTCAGAAACATCTGTAAATGTGAGCCGTACGGAGACGTCTGGTGAACTCACCCATGAATCCAGCGGGGTAGGTGATGTCGGTGCGGACCTTGCCGTCGATCTTGATGAACCTCTGCATGCAGATCTTCTTCACCTCGTCCCCGGTCAGGGCGTACTTCAGGCGGTTCCTCAGGAAGATGATGAGGGGCAGGCACTCCCTCAACTTGTGGGGCCCGGTGGAAGGACGAGGAGCCTGAGAACAACAACATGCGTTATCTTTAAGGATGCCCAACACCAAATAACCTCCTTTAAAAAACTAGATTATAAGGTTCATTCTGTGATGTTAAATAACAGTTAGCTGGTGATGATATTTAGGCGAGTGCATTAAAGTGAAGCTCACATGAGCCAGATGTTAGCATACATTCTATTATAACGCTAACACCTGTCGGTCATATTCAAGTATAAATGGCCTTTAGTAAAGAGACAAACATGTATTCTGGTACATATTATATATACACAATAAAGCATAAATGAGCAAACTCCTGTTTTTATAACGTATATAGAACATTTTACATGCGACTCCCAACATGCAAAACTATCTTACAGCTGAAACAACAACGTTTGCAAAGACATAACTAAACAATATATTAAAAAAGGTATAAAGTAGTACAATAAAATGTGACTTACGAAAACTCCAGTGAGCTTGTCAAGCATCCAGTGCTTTGGCGCTGCGACGCGCTTCAGATGCTTCTTCGGACCTCTTGCCTGGAGAAAGAAGGATAAATATACGGGTTAACTGACGGAGCAACAACCGAGAAAACAACAAGAACCGTGGATGTATGTTTAGCGGAGTGTGCGAGGCTGGAGACCCCGGGAAAGAGAGAGTAAACTCGGATCAGTGCTGTTAGCATGGCATGCTAACGTGGCATGTTAACCATAGGAATGAATGGCGATTAGCTGCGGCCTATCCATGCTAACGTTAGCACACGTTGAGCAGAATATATTTAAGGCTTTATACATTATTTCACTTTTACAACGTGCTGCGACACATGTTCACAAGTATCATTATGCCGCGAATTTAAGAGCGACGCTTCAAACACTGAAGAGTAGTTGTCCGTTAATTTAGATAGCTACGGCCAAGCTAACAAGCCGTGAGGGGTGAGATACCTTTTTTTAAATCATCAATATAGAGGAACCATCGATGCTTCTGGTTACAATTTAGACATCGATCGTTTGATAAGACGTGGGATTTCAACCTAGGACGTGTATTTTGGCGATATTACAGCAGCAAAAAGTGATGTTTAGTGATTATTTCAGAGAGGAATCGTGAGGAGGAACAGCTCACCATGTTGGAGTCTGCGCGGAAAAGGACCAGCCGGCTTCCGGTTTAGAATGATATGGCCGACTATGGCAGACTGGGAGGGACAAAAGTACGGAAAGTCGCAATATCAATACCGAATACTCATCAAGCGGTTTTGTGTACTATCGATATGTTTTATCTGTACTACTCAGTGTAGGAAGTATTTTAATTACTTGATATACTGCATATACAATATACTGGAGATAATAATATATCATTATGAATTGCAAAGTAACTGAAACTTTCACAATAAATGTAGTGGAGTAAAAGTTTAAATGTTTACCACCAAAATATAGTAGAGTATAAGTATAAATTACAAGTATATATATGATGTATGATTCTGAAATATCAATATGCAGAATGAGTCCTTTTTCTTTTGGTGCTTTTAAGTGTAATGCTAATACTTTTACTTGAGTAAGATTTAGAATGCAGGACTTTTACTTTAGTACTTGTACACTGTAGTATTTCCACTTTTACTAGAAGAACTATGGAAGCCTATGGAAGCCCATTTCCACTGGCAAAAAAAAAAAAAAAAAAAAAAAAAAAGAATTCTAATTATTATTATTATGCTGGCGGAAAAATGTAAAAAAAACAAACTGATTTTTTTATATTTTACTTTTTTTCCACCAGCATAAAAAAAAATTAAAAAATGCACCAACACTTTTGGTGCATCCACCTGTAACCATAACTGACCAGATGTTTCCAGTTGCAAAGTAGAAAGTCTAAATGATGAGTCATAGAAGCAGCTCTTCATAGGTTTCCCTACATTTGACATATACATGGATTGTGAGTACATTGAAGACTTCTTTAAACGTGGCTTTACAACAGATGAAATACTTCAATTGTTGATGTTTCACATGGATTGTACTGAGCAAACGCACCCTTCAATAGAATTTTAAGCAAGAAGCAGCTCTGGAGTATAAAGAATGAAACCAATGTGGCTGAGGTGAAGACCTTCAATAAACAGCAACTGGAACTTTTTTTTTTTTTTTTTTGGATGGCAGAAAAAAAATAATAAAATTTAAAAATTTAAAAAAATAATAAAAATCTTTTTTTTCTTTTTTCTGACAGCCAAAAAAAAAATAAAAAAAATCTAACTTTAAAAAAAAGAAATAAAAAAAGCTTAAAATTGTATTCAAGGGTGCGTTTACTCAGTACAATCCATGTGAAACATCAAGCTATTGAAGTATTTCATCTGTTGTAAAGACACGTTTAGAGAAGTCTTCAATGTACTCACAAGCATGTATATGTCAAATGTAGAGTAACCTATGAAAAAAAGTGTTAAGTGTGAAAACTCACCTCTTCAAGAAGGCTTCCACTTAGCACTTACTTGCCATTTATTGTATTCATACTAGTTTGTTGCACTTATTGTATTAGTTTGTTTCTGCACTGTACTTTTGCACTGGTTTATGCTCTTAGATGCTTGTTTTTAAAAGGAGATGCACTTGTGACTTCTGGTGACTAGTAGTTCTCTTGAATACTATGTTGAATACACTTATTGTAAGTCGCTTTGGATAAAAGCATCTGCTAAATTACTGTAATGTAATGTAATGTAACAAATCACTTCTTTGAAATGAAGCACTCCAAAACAGTTTTTAAACTCAACAGAAATAACTAAAATAAAGTTCATAAAGTTATTATAAACTTGTTACTGAATTACACACAGAGTTGTAAAACGTACTTAGACATAAAAGGTATTGTTGGTGATTAACCACGTTGTATTTACCATCACATGCCAGCAGATGGAAGCCTTGTGCAATAATGTTGAGAGACGTACTCTTTATTCAGTATTTTGACTATTAAAGAGCTTTGATTGGACACATATGCAGCAGTTAATCTCTATCCCAGCCCTCAACGTGTTACTATATTGTTGCACATTTTATTTAAAGCACATGTATCTGTTGATGTCGTTAAACTCAACACACCTGTGTTAATGGAAAAACCTTTAGAATTCATGTTTGCTAAAGTTCAGCTAAAGTCTGTCTTCTGTTTCAATGAAGAACATTCACACCAGCTCATTTTTCATTGTCTTTATTCCGCCCCCCCCCCCCAAAACTCAGAGCCGTAACAAAAATACAAGCATTTTTTTTAATATGATCTCAGTCATTTACATATTCATATAGATGTACAAGTGAGAGCCGGTGAGCAAAAGTGCTTAAAAATCATCTTTGAATAATATTCATTTAATAAGAAAAGACAAGAGACGAACACAATAAGACTCAAATCTACAGGTTTAAACGTAAATATGATGAAATAAAAATGAATAAATCAGTGCAGAGTCTCCTTCGGTCTCACAAGGTGAGTTGGACGTTGTCATCGCTGTGGAGAGACGAGACCTGTACCGTCGACCCTCTAACACATATATCACTGCTCACGTCGGAGGCTTTCACAGGCCTTCATGTGGGGGAACATTGTTCATGACCCCGAGGCCCGGCGGGCCACAAATCACCGCTGTCACCAGGGAACCTGTAAATCCACTTCACCCGCTGCCGGGACCGCTAAGGTTTATACGTGGACGTAGAAGTCAGGACGAGCCTCGTCCTCCGAAAGATCGTTTCAATCTGAATAGAGAACGCTTGTTTATCCCTGCCATCGTGGAAATGGGCTATTTATCGTCTTTATAGATTGGGGGGCCAGCAAGACTGACAGACCCTTAAAGTTGTTGTTTAGTCTCTTTTTGTTGTTGTTTTGTGTCTCTTTGTGGACATCTTTAGTCTCTTTGTAGTTGTTTTGAATCTCTTCATGGTCATTTTGTGCATCTTTGTGTTCATTTTGTGGCTTTGTAATAGTTTTTTGTCTATTTGTAGTTGTTTTGTGTCTCTTTGTGGTCATATTCTGTCTTTTTGCATTTATTTTTATGTGTCTTTGTGGTTGTTTTGTGTCTCTTTGTAATTGTTTTGGTCTTTTTGTCGTTGTTTGGCGTCTCTTTTCAGTTGTTTTGGTGTCTTTGTGTTTATTTTGTGTAAATTTATAGCAATGTTGTGTCTCTCCAAGGTTGTTATACCAATTTTCACAGTCGTTGTGAGCTCCTTTGTGTCTCTTTTTAGCTGTTTTGGTCTCTTTGAAGTATTTTTGTGTCTCTTAGCTGTTCTGATGATTCTTTGCCATCATTTTGAGTCTCTTCCTGGTCGGTACACGTCTTTTTTACTGATATTTTGTCGATGGCCTGTGGTATTTCGAAGCTAAATTGAAAGCGGAAAAGAGGAATATTTTTGCATGGAGCTCAGTTTTAGTCATCAGACACCAGATAGCTGTGAGGTATATTTTGGTTCAAAAGGTCTCTGCCGGGGTTAATCTGCAATATCGGGCGTGAAGGAGAAGAGGAAATGAAACCCCAGATGATTCAAACATCTCGACCAGGCAACTTCTCAGAGGAGGAGGAGGAGGAGGAGGAGGAGGGTGGGGGGTGCTCCATACAGCAACAATAACATTCACTCAGCTGGGATCAAGGCTGGACCACGAAACAAGACACACACACACACACGAGGAACTTTAAAACAATGTTGAGCAGATGGAAACAAACACGAGACTTTCTGTAATTTGAAGAATGTTATTTTGACCCGCTTAGTCGACGAGACGGGCCGGAAAACCAGAATCAGTGCGTCTGTCTTTTGGATTTGGGGGCGATGAGAAGCGTCTCTCAGTAAAGTGGTAAATTTCCTGCTAAATCCCTTTTTTTAAAGTAGAGAATTCTGTCAAATTACTCATCAATCACTGCTTCTCGCGTTTCATTTAGGAAAGAAAAAGGAAGTTGAATTACAGTAACCGAGACTCCAATCGACATCAACAACTGTCATTAGGCAGCGTGTGTGTGTGCAGACAAAATAGCCGGCTTGTTGAGGAACTGTGTGTAAGCTGACCCGTCTGTATCTAAATAAATGAACAAGGCACGGCGCGTTGTTTTCCCACCGCCATGTGGTCTTCCTGCTGCTCAGAGTTTCCCCCTCACACACACTTCCATCTCCAGACCTGCAGACGCTCTTATCTCTTTTCAAACAGCCCCAATAACCCGTGAAGTCTGTGTGTAACTGAACAAGTGCCGGTTTCACGGCTGCTTCTCCCGTTTCCATGCTGTAACACCATCCCCAACGCTCCTGTGTGTGTGTGTGTGTGTGTGGCAGGGGTTTATTTTCGAGGCCTTTGTATAGCCCGCCGCTATAGTTTGGTGTGTGTACGTATATATATATATATATATATATAGAGTATATGTATGCAGGTGTGTTATTTCATGTGTGCGTGGTCCAAGAGGAGACCCACAATGCCCAGGATGACAGACACGGCAGGTTGAGGTGAAAGGCCTTTGTTGCCGTCGCACGGTTCGAGCCCCCGTCTCTTCTTACCACAACAGATATACAGGTCAGAGCCCCCATGCTGGCATGCAACCATCCACAGGAGGAGCCAGCACGGTGCAGCTCCTATAGGTGGGCGAGAGGTGGAGGGGTGGGTGTCAATTTAAACCCCGGGGACACGACGCCTGGTAGGTGGAGAGTTGACTTTACCTACGAGACACAGTAGAGACGCAGTAGAGACGCAGTAGAGACGCAGTAAGGAAGTAAGGACGAACAGAAACTGGTAGCTAATGATGCTAACATGTTAGCCGCGAGCAGTAATAGCATCTGAAAGCTCTGCAGAAAGCAAAACCACAGTGTGTGTGTGTGTGTGTGTGTGTGTTGTGTGCCTCCAGGTCAAATGATGGGGAAGTGTGGTGACAATAGGATCTTTTGAGGCTGGACAAACTCGTTTTGACACAAACATCTAAAGTGGTAAAACAGGAGAATCAAAAGGCAGGTGAATTTATCTCGTCTTGGAAGTCAACAACCTCGTAACCTCCATGTAGGAAGAAGTGCCATCAAGGATCACTGACACCAACCCGGGTCAGTGTTTGTCTTTTACAGAAAACAAAACATGTATCAGCGACTCACATGACCCAACAGAAGGCCTGCGTCGTTTTAATGTGGCTGTGCTCCGGAGCGGGAAACAGTCTCCTCCATTCAGGTCCCGTGCTCCGACTCCACGCCCCCCTTTGATCAAATTCATTACGCTCAGAGACGCGCTTACAGAAGCGCTCCTTGTCCAGACGTCCAGATGCATATCAGTCACTGTCTTAAATAACGTGTCCTGTGAATACGACTGGTTGAACTGAATTCAAACACACAAAAAGGAAAGAAAAGAGAAGAACATTGAGATAACCAGTTCTCAGACAATCGGTTTCTTTGTGAAGGCGAGAGACGGGAGTCTGTTTCCCGTGAGACCAGAGTCTGATATTGTGCATGAAGAAAACAGGAAACGTGGTGTTTGTCATCCTTCACGAATCTCCCCATGAAGTCCTCATTTTCCTAAAGTTGATCGAGAGAGAAGAACGCTAAGGAAAGTCCAACAGGTGTGCCGAAGTCATCGCTTCTGTTTGGTGTTCTGAAAGGTCTCCAAGCGTCCGCCGATCACCTTGTTTTACCAACGAAAAGAATCATTTAAATGGAAAAATAACAGAATGTGTGCGATGAGACTTCTTTATCCCACCAGGTTGGTTTTCAACCACCAGTTTCATCCTGGAAGAGACAAATTCACGACTGAATGGACCGAAAAACAGTTTGCTTTCTTTCTTTAAGCCTTCTTTTACTTTTCTGTTTGTCGGTCAGCGTCTCTTCAGTTTCCTCATTTGATCAAAGAAAGAAAGGGAGGAGAGAGAACCAAACAGAGGAGAGACAATCTCTTTGTCAAACAATCCGCGCTGCGTCTCGGTAGTTTCTGTCGTTCTCGTAGGTCAGCAACCGGCCGGCACGTCCGACATGAAATCGAACTCGTTCTGACCCAGCCAGAGCTCGGGCAGTTCGTTGGCTCGGTCCAAACCGAGCTCCACCACCAGCGACATGAGGACCTCCTCGTCCACGGGGTCAAAGTCGATAATTCCGCCGGCGGCGGAGCTTTGGTTCCCCATGCCGACGCCCATCCCGCCTCCACCGAGGCCTCCGGACGCCCCGAGGAGCTGGTTCCCCGCGCCCAGAGGCGAGGCCCCGAAGCCCCGCTGAGCGCCGCCAGGCGCCGGGTGTCCCGCCGAGGCCCCGGCGAGGTTCTGGTAGTGCGAGTTGAGCTTCTGCAGCTGCATGCTGGCGATGAGGTGGGGCCCCGTCTGTAGGCAGAAGGGCTGGGGTTTGGTGAGCGGGGCCGACGACAGAGACGACCCGGGCGGCGAGGCGGCGCCGGCGGACGGGGAGAACGGCGCGACGGAGGTCTTGGAGGACGGGTAGTGGAGCAGGGAGCTGAGCGGAGAGGAGGAGGAGAGGTCCTTCATCGCAGCGTGGGGGTTGCCAGGGAACAGCAGGGAGGTCATCACCAGGAAAACACCAGAACCTGCCGGAAGAAAGATGGAGATGTTACGCAAAATGTCATCAAAGTGGGACATGGAGGGGACGAGATGAACTCGTTAGAGAAACAGGCTCCATCATGGAAGACAAGAATTCACTGTAAACTGACACTAGAGAACCGTCAAACAGGAAATGTTTTCATAACTTTATTGTATGCTAATCTTTATTGTAGCATGGTTTCCTATATCTATATTTGATTCCATACCCTCAAAGAACATTCTCTTTATAAAAGTATGAAAACCTAAATGCATAATCAGCGTTTGGATGGTGAACTAAGTTTTCCAAAGGAAATAGTTTGACAATTTTGGAAATATATTCGCTTTCTTGCCGAGAGTTACTACCAGTTAAAAGTTCCTCACAGTAACTTTTAAATACTTCCACTCGCTAAAGAAAGGACGACAAATCACTGAAGTGGTCGTTAAACAGTGTTTCCTGACGAACACGCGGCTCCCTTCAGACCGCAACAACGACGGCGTTGTTGACTTAAGAGCGGCTTTACTCCAGTTCCTTTAAATCACCGGAGTCCTGGTCCTCTGAGAAACGCACAACGAGCCGAGCCGGTGACTGGGCGGCCGCATGACTAGTGTGTGTGTGTGTGTGTTCGCTTGATGTCTGTTTTTCCTCTTGACCTATTGAGCAGCAAATTAACCGTGAGAAGGCCTGTGGGTACTAACGGGGTTAGTGAGTGTTTATAGGACTGTGTGTGTGTGTGTGTGTGTGAATGGAGTTCCCAACACAACAGAGCCTTTGAGGATCTCAAAGAGTGATTGGGTCACATGGCAGGATAAATACATATGGGCACCGAGGACAGAGCATATGTCTGACCGTTTGTGTGTGTGTGTGTGTGGCTGAAATCCCTTTTGCAGAAAAACTCCG